ATAGTCTCCTAATAGGATTTGGCTAGGTTCCCACCTACACTTTTTTCGTATCTGCCCAAACATGATGCTTTCAGAATTCTCTACAACATTTAACGATCGTTTTCATACGCATATAATTTTTTCAAAGTTTTTCGTCAAAGACATTTTTCTCTTTCTATGTTTCGTCCTTCGTTCTTTCGACATTTTTCGTCTAAATCAAAGATCCTCTCCGGATTCATATATTTTTTCCTGAGAAAGTCACTCAGTCGTGAGAAAAGGTTGCAGCTACGAGATCTGATGATTCTGACATGATTCGACCCAAGATACTCTGTTTAAGATTCTAACAAGATTATCATTAAATTTCAACTAGGATTTTGCCATGAACCCTCGAGTGTTGTAGAAAAAAAGTGTACAGCCACTGAATTTCAGGATCCCCACAGGACTAGAAGCATGATTCTATCAGTATCCTAAACAAGTTGTGACTATTTGAGAGTTGAGAATCTTTGAGCACATCTAGGGTGGGTATGAACAGAAGATAATCTTATGCTAACCAAAAGCCTTCGCTGCAACAAAAACTCTTATGTTAATAGTCTTTTCTGATTCACGTAAGAAGTAGAGTAAATCCCTGTATGAAGATCCTAGCCCGTATCTGACGAAAACCTAACAAATCTTGGGAAAATTGTTGTTCTTGTTCTTCTAATGGTCCTGAGAAGAATTAGTACTGAATCCTGAAAGCATCATGTTTGGGCAGATACGAAAAAAGTGTAGGTGGGAACCTAGCCAAATCCTATTAGGAGACTATCTAACCAAAATATTCCTAATCAGCAGCACGAGTTATCAGAAGTTGAGGCAAGATCCTTGCGATTCTGGATTGTGCAAAGACTTTGGAGGATTTCTCAAGAAATGGAGAAAATTACGAATAGAGTCACTATTACCAGACTATACTATTTTAATACCCAATCACATAATAATAATAGATGACTGCTAACGATTACTAAGACCAAATGCCATGACACAATTAAGAGATCCAAAGCTGAAAAGCTGCAGATCACCACCACCTAGTCATAAAGGTAAGGTATAAAACAACAATGAGAGCAACGATTTTGTATACTGCTGAAGAATGCTGGATACCACATTGTTTGAAGCCACATTCGAGCTAGGAAAAATCAAGTAATGAGTCTTGAAGCGCCATGTAATGTATCTCCTCAAAGCTTTTACCGGCATAAAGTCACTACTCCTAGATATTTAGGGCGGACTATGAGAAGAAACACTACATACGTCATGAGCACTGGCACAAACTACTACTAGATGACACTGCGGGGCCGATTGTTCCACCCGCTCCATAGGAGCTGACGACAGTGATTGGACAAGTACAAGTACAAATACTTGGTACTTAACTAATTTACTTTGAACTTGTGCTCAAGTGCAAGGTACTATAGTACATTGTACTTAGTACCGGTACTGAGCACAAGTGTACTCTGTACTTGGCTATAATTTGATTTTTTGCTTCTCTTAGTATTTCCTAAGTCAATAGTTATTATTTTCGTGATTTACTGACATCTATAGGAGTGAAAAGAATAGAAGGAAATATCGATATTACATATTTTATATTGATCGACATCAAATCGATATAGTTTCAATTATTGTAAGTAATAATGAATAGAGATATATGAGTGAGAGGAAGAAAATAAACAGGTTAGCAAAGAAAGTTTTTTGGCGTAATATAAACAATGGGTGCCTCGATCTCTTGGACATCATCATAACACCTACTATTTTTTATTCGTGAAACACCATCTTATACCTGAAGATAAATTCTATTCAAATCTTCATCAATAGTCAATGGCTGCGGAACAATTAAAACAATATTTCGATTTTTCCACGATTGACAAAAATAGAATCAACGGCTATTGTAAATTGTGCAGTCAAAATTATAAGGATAAATGTGGAATTTCTAGCAATTTCTTAAAACATTTAAAACGAAAACATAAACCTGAATATGAAAAATTATTTTTTGATCAAGTTAAAGATTCATCAGAAGCTATTCATGGTAATGATTATCGATCAACTACAGAATTATCATCAAGCAACACCAAACAAAATCGTATTAATATATCCATCGCAAAATATTTAATTACCAAATGCAATTTACCTTTGAACTTAGTGGAGAATTTTGCGTTTCGCGAATTTATGAAAGAATGTAATATCAAATGGGATCCAATATCATCTAAAAAATTGAAACATGGTGGAATTGCATTTTTTACAGATAAAATGAAAAAAAATCTTCATGTAACATTAAATGATACTAAATTTATTACATTAACTGTTGATGGGTGGTCTGACAGATGAGGCAGATCATTTATCGGCGTGACCTGCCATTTTATTAACTACAAATGTGAACCACAAGCATTATTAATTGATTTTGTACGTTTAAAAGGATCACATACTGGTGAAAATATTCATCCAACAACTGAATTTATTCTTGATCGGTATAATCTTAAAGAAAAGGTATACAAAATAGTCACGGACAACGCTTCATCAATGATAAAAGCGTATAAATTTGGCTTGTCCGTTGATGATGAAATAGATGATGATAATAATAATGAAATTAAATTGAATTTAAATACGAACACTGCATTCGATGATAATGATTGTAAGTAGTTTTTTATAGTTAAATGAAGACATAATATAAATCATTTTATTCTAGATGATATGGATATTAATGATTTGGAGTTTATGGATATTTTGTATGCTGAAGATTATGAAGATATTGAAAATCATTCTGATCTTCGTTTATCATGTTTTATACATTCGTTGCAACTATCTATACGTAATGGTCTAAAAAATGCTTCTTATGTACCAAAATTACTTAAAAAATGTCAAGCACTTGCTAAATTTGCACATAAATCATCAAAAATTACTGAATTACTTGAAGAGTTAAATAAACACATTAACAAAATGACAATTACCCGGTGGAATAGTGAATTTTTATTGATCAAACCCATTTCATCAATTGGTAAAACTGATCTTGAATTAATTACATCTTTAATGGATAACCCAATTAAATTTTCTAATAATGATTTCATTGTTTTACAAGAACTTATTGATATTCTTCAACCATTTTATGATATTTCAATTAGATGTCAAGCAGAAACAGCAGTTACTGCTAGTTTAGTAGTACCATCTATAGTACATTTGATTTCACATCTTCGTGATATAAACCCAGATATATCATTATGTCTTAAATTAGTACAGCAACTCGAAGAATCAATTACAACACATTTTTCCGGTATTATTAATCGATTAAATTTAGTTGATGTTGTTGATAATTCTGCTTATGGTGATCCGATATATTTCATAGCTGCTGTATTAGATCCATCATTGAAATTTTTATGGATTCGTGATTTAAAACTGCCTGTTCCAATAGAAAATCGTTTAAAACAACACATAATCGAATTGATTATTAATGAAGTGAAAAAAGATTTACCAGCATCAACTATTAAGCCAATGAAGATTAATTTTCCTGCAACATCATCATCAATATCTTCTTCTTCTTCTACAGCTACTACACCACAAAGAAAATGACGAAAATTGTTCAATTATGATGATAATATTATCAATGATTCAAATGCATCGTCGTCAGTTGATCCTGCTGTAGAATTAGATGCATTTTTAAATGATCCAGTTCGTTCAAGTTTTTCTAACTATTGGTTCCATTCACAACTAAAAATTTTGAAGAACTTAGTTGTACGAATTTTCTCAGTTCAAGCAAGTTCAGCTCCAATCGAGAGAGTGTCCTCTCATGCCGGACTCATATTATCATCAAGAAGAACGAACATGAATGAGACTTTATTTCGTGATTTAGTTCTTCTACGTGTAAATCAGAATTTGTTTTGAAATAGTTGTGACACATTCGTTATTTCCATAAGTTGTTCCTCTTAGATTTGTCTTTGTTGGTTTACTATTTATTTTTAACTTGTTGTTTTACTTTTTATTTTAACTCGCTGTTCTTTTTTATTATATTATTGTTTGTCACGGTTACTTCCTGAAACTAATAAAAGTTTTTATTCTTCATTTGTAATATCTTCCGTTGTTTATCATTAAATACTGCAACAAAAATCTATACATAGCTAGCTACCAAGTAAGTACATATTAAACGAGCAAGCTATTGCAACAGCAAAACACTATTTCATCTACGCTCTGATGTTACAGAGATAAATAATTCATAAAACTCAAATATTCATTGTGATCTACGTAGAACGATCATCTGAAAAGCACATCACCTATCTGTGTTTTTCAAGGTTTAAAATAATTATTAAGTTTTTGAATTATTCCCAAGAGATGAAAAGGTGTTAAAAGCATGTATTCCATAGAAACCATAAACAAATAGCTAACAAAAAAGATTAAATTAGACAACATCTCATTAAGTACCAAGTACATATGTACTTAAGTAAAATGTACTGAAGTCCAATTACTAAGTACACAAGTTAAGTAAAAAGTACATGTACTTGTACTGCACAAATGTACTAAGTACTAAAGACTTTTAAGTAAAAAGTACGAAAAGTACTAAGTACTGTACTAAGTATCCAATCACTGGCTGACGAGTTCTCCATACTTCTTTATGTTGTCCACTCACTGTTATCAAGTCTATAAATAATTATCAGTAACCAACTGGTACACTTAATGAAGCCGAGTGAGTAGTATCATTATATAGCCTACGTTGACATGCGAGCATCGGTGTTATATGTTGCATCAATTGTTGAGCGAGCTCTCCGTTATATAGTAGTTAATGACCTAAGGGTGTCCCCATTATATAGTAGTCGATGACCTATGAATAGTCACGTTACATAGCCCATAAATAGTTGTTGATACTTTTATGAATGTTTATTAACTTTCATGAATTTCTAACAGAAGTTTACTTTCATAGGAAAAAGTACACATTAACTTTAAAATTTTTAAAGTTAAAGTCTTAAAGTTGGTCACTGTAACTTTAACATTTAAAGCTTAAAGTTAAAGTGCCATCCCTATTCTAAAATTCATCCACCAACAAACAAAAACTATTTAGCATGGATGCATATCTCTGTTACATCGGTAGAAACACGTGAACGCTAGAAAAAGAAAGAGCCGTCTTCATTCCTTTACAGTCGCTGAATTGCGATGTTCAAAGTACGGCATAG